AGATGGTTAGGTAGTTTAAAAATAATTCATGACCTCTTTAAATACTATAATTTCCCCCAAAAAATGTAACATAGAAAGTCTGATGTAAGTGTGGATGAGGGAAGGTCTCAGGAAGTCCCACCCCTATGGACTGTGATACTGCCAGTTGTTGGCTGGGGGCGCTGGCAGGGGAGAGTTGATTTTCTCCAAGGGTGTGGTTTCATGAGCACTCAGTGATGGAGTGCTTGCTTAAAACACACAAAGCCTTGAGTAAGGGCCACAGGAACTGAAACATTGAGATCTTACCACATAGATCAATTTTAAGTTCGTCTACTTTTTTATTTCTACTTAAAATAGGATTGAAAAATGTGCTTGTTAAACAGAAAAGCATTGATCTAGTGCATGAAAAACATAACCTTCCATTAAAATATTTGATTAGCATTCAGAAATACATCTGTTTAACGAGCAGGACACAGCTGTGTTTGAATTTCACTTTTATGCATATGGAATTTTATAATAAGGAAGGCTGATGTCGATTCGTGTCACACAGAGTGCATATTGAAATGGCATACATTTTCTTATTCTTCTTGATGTTTTTGGTTAGAATTCCCAAAGCCTGGCTTTTCTTGGGCCAAATCAGAATGAAAACATTCTCTTCTGGCAGTTTTTTTTTAAAACAGTGTTTTGAACTTCAATGTGCAAATGGAACTGATTTCAGGTTCACAATTTAAATGTCATAGTTTATAAACTGATTAAGAGGGGTGCACACGAGGTTGGCTCAGTTGGTAAAGCACTTGCCACACAAGCTGAAGACCTGTTAGGAGCCCCAAAACCCACCTGCCTATAATTCCAGTGGAGCAGAAGCAGACACAGGAAGGTCCCTGGGACTCCCTGGTCAGCTAGTCTAATCAAATTGCTGAGCTCCAGGTTCAGTGAGCAGCTCTTCTCTCTCTCTCTCTCTCTCTCTCTCTCTCTCTCTCTCACACACACACACACACACACACACATGCACACACTAAATAAAGTAGGAAACACAACCTCAAAACCAAAAATCAAATAGAAAACCCCAGGCATGGTGGTGCACAACTTTAGTCTTAACACTCAGGAGGCAGAGGCAGGTGGATCTTTGAGTTGTTGGCCAGCTTGGTGTACATAGTGAGTTCTAGGACATCCAGGGCTATGTAGAAATACTTGTCTTAAAGAGAAAAAGAAAAAAAAATGAAGAAAGAAAGAATTAATGAAGGAAGGGTAGAAGATGGTTGAGAAAGTCATCTGACATTGACCTGTAGCCTCCAAGCACATGTCTATTTTCTTACACATATAAGAATCTATACAAATGTATACACACAAATGTACACATGTGTACACACACACACACACACACACACACACACGAATGCACATGGCTAAAAGCAGGCAGCACAGACATATTTCAGAGAATTTCTACAACTGGCTGCCATAGTCTTTGTGTATACGTGTGCACTTTCCAAGATGAGATCCTGTTAAGGCATAAATATAAATCAGTTTTTTTTTACTTGAAAATTCTATTCATGAAAAAAATATGATATCATACCTGTACTTTAAGTTATTAATCTATTTTCCAAGGACATTTTGGGTCTGCATATTTGGCAGACCAGTTTGATTAGAGCCCTAGCTTCCATATGCAGGGTCAAGAACCATCTTAGTGCTTAGTACTAGCCAAAGCTTGATCTGTAATCCATTTACCAGAGCCTGACATAGGTGTTGTTCTTTTCAATGCCAAACATGAGAAGCCAAAAAAGCTACTGATAAAACCATAGTATTTTCTCCTCTGAATTTTGCTGATAACTTGGGGAGAATGTTTATTATCATTCAACCAGTACATTAAAAAAAATTTCTCAGCCACTTAAGAGTAAATCATTTTTAAATGGCATTAAAATTTTTTTAAAAAATGTAGGCTGAGACTAGTGACTTACACCTTTCTTTAATCCCAGCACTTGGAAGGAAGAGGCAGGCAGATCTCTGAGTTGAAGACCAGCCTGATCTGCAGAGTAAGTTCTAGGACAGCTAGAGTTACACAGAGAAATCCCATCTTGGACTCCCTCCCCCTCCAAATGAAAAGGTCACACAATCCACCTCTCAGACTAGGGTTTTTGTTAATTGAAAGACTGATATATTTTCGTGCACCTCAGACCTAGACGACAGGCTCTGCTGTGAAGGAATCTCATGTGTTTTCTCTCCTCCTTTCTTGTGGTTGAGGCGGGCTCTTGGGAAGTCTAGGTTGGCTTCTGGCTTGGTACATAGCCAGTACTCTAGTGCTGGAGTCAAAGTTTGAATTTTATTTCTGTTTTTGTTTTTGCAGTTCTAGGAACTGAACCCAGGAACCTGGTACAGGTGGGGGAAGGGCTCTACCTCTGTCTGCTTTATCCTCAGTCCTTTATTTTTGTGCTTTCCACAAATATGCCTTTAGCTTGCTTGGTAATTTTCACCCTGGAGCAGAAAGCCAATGGTTGTATGTTTGCTACTCGGTGACTTGTGTGTGCTCACAGATAAGCCGCTCAGCCCAGATGTCCTCAGATAAGGTTCAGTGCAAGTTAGAACTAGTTATTTGGCCAGCACCACTATCTAGAAGCTCTAACAATTTCTTGGAATGTATTTAATGTCTGGACCCTGGGCTTTCAGAGATGCTTCATGGCCTGATGGAATCAGTAGCATCTGTTCCCAGCTCTGCAAAACGATGACCTTCTTTTCAAGGTCAAACTGAGAGCTAATCACTTTTGGCTAATATTTGCTTGAGGTTATGCTTGTCTCCTTGTGTGTGACATGCGAAATGATTTCAGGTGTTGCAAGAGCAATTTCAAAACATGGTTACATATTTGTGTTAGTGCATACTCACTATTGCCAGACTTTAAACTCATAGTTTTGTGACATTATTAAGGTGAGTAGAATAAAAGGTATAACTTTATTTGCAGAATATAGATAAGTGAGACTACATACTGTTATGTGAAGATGGGAAAGACAAATTTGAAGGATTATTTTGGGAGGAAGTACATGCATCTTGTGAGATGGTGTTGACAGTGTGGAGGATCTAGAAGAGGGCAGAAGAAAACAAGTAGATGACAGCACTTGTTATCAAAGGTAGTGTTTGATGAATGAGCCTGATTTAAGCTTGCTTCAGACTATGAGGTAAATATTCTTGACCATTGTCTGCAGTGACCAAGTCTCAGGTGGGTGAAGAAGCTAGAACTGAACACAAATCTCTGCTTCTGAATCTACCGACCTTACTCTTCAGGGTGAGAAGACAGAGAATATGGCCAAACAGATCTTGTGGAGTAGGGGATGGTTTTCAGACCTGTCCCTGACTGAACGGGAATAAAAAAAATGGCTGCCTGTTATTTTCTGTCTTACTTATGAGATTAAGAGCAGCTAATCACAGAAATTAGGTGGTAGGCAGCAATGCTGGTGAGGAAGTGATGCACAAATTAAAAGACAACAAAAAGAAAGCCCTGGCCAACACTCATGATCTCTCTTTAGAAGTACACACATATGTCTAGTTTAAATGAGTTTTGTTTTTTTTGGTACTAGTTATGGACATTACATGCCAGCGAAAGTAAAGTGTTCTTCCTTGTTTTCCTTAGGTCTCCTCAGGAAACCTTACTTCACAAACCCCCTCCCCCACGTTCACACACACAGCTCTATCCCATTGACCACCCACACACCACAGGTACACATGCTTGCATGTACTGCTTCATACACCACAAATACCTCCTCACATGGGCACCCTCGTGTCACACACCTACACATGCCACTTCATGCACTACTTACACTCAACCCACACATATATTCAACTTATGCTCACATGTTCCTTCATAAGCACCACAATCTTACAACACATTATACATACTCAACATCCCCCCCCAGTGCTACATATTCACACACCATTACAGGTACCATCCCTACATGACTGACACACACTTCACCCACTAGAGACATACGAGTGCGTGCACGCGCGCGCGCGCACACACACACACACACACACACACACACACACACACACACGACTCCACAACACTACTTGCACCATACAAATGCATGCTACCTCTGCATCTACATATTTTTACAAATATCATGCACATGTATCTCAAAAGCTTCATACACATACAATCAACAGTCCACAAAACATACTTGCACAGCTTGTATATGTACCCATACATCATGCATACTTCATGTATGTACACAGGTTTCCACATAAATCCCCCCCCACCTTTCCACACACAAGCCCATGCCTTAGAAACTCAGAACAAAGGGAATGGGACTGTTTATTCTAAGTTACTTACTGAGCTCAATGTATCAAAGTGGAGATGCTGTTGTCTTAAAGTTCTGTTTCCAAAGTGTGGGAGAACATTAAGAATGACCCAGCCACTTAATAAAATCAGCACTGGCCTCCATCCAAATTCTGAATCAGAAATGCCAGTGAAAGCTGGGAATGTGTGTATTTAGTGTACCTCCTGGGCTCATAGGTATTTTTTTTTTTTAAATTTTGATCTGTACTGAGAATGGAACCTAGGACCTTAGGTATGCTAGGCAAGTGCTCTACTGCTGAGCTCCATCCCAAGTCCTCCTTTTATTTTTTTATTTTGGGAGTCTCACTGAGTTGTAAAGGATGGCCTCAAACTCACTCTATAGCCCAGGTAAGCCTTGAGCTCAGGACCCCCCTGCCTAAACCTTCCAAGTAGCTGGGATCACAGGCCCGAGTCACCACTAGACTCTATATGTAAGGTTAGTTTCCTTAAGCCATGCTGGTGCCTTGAATGAAACAAGTGGATTCCACATACTGATTACTCTTCAAGCCCCTCTTAAAACCCTCTGCCATCTAGGCTGTGCCTTAGTTTTAGGTTCCCTTCTAAAGTGGGTGAGGTTAAAGTGGGTGTGGACAGTAAGGGCTTGGCCCCTATCTTCTCACCCCACCTCTAACTATAATTCCATAAGCAGTGAACTGTCTCTTGTGACCTGGAAATATACTGGGACTAAACTTGACTTCTAAGAAAACATCTGGACCATAGAGTGCTCCCCCTGCTTTGCGGGGGGGGGGAGGGGCTATGACCTGGTATGTGGCAGTCTTGCCCTCATCCTGGTTGCAGGACTGAGGGACAGGGTGGGTAGAGAGGATGGATAATGCTGCTGTTGCTGCTCTTGCTGTAACATTTGAAGTAGCACAGGGCTTTTGAAAGTGACATTGAAGGACTATGTCTCTCCACAATATCCCTATTTGCTCCCTATTGCAGTTGACTAATAAAGGAGACAGGAGAGGACATCATAGACTAATTGAAACTCACCTAATTTCGTATCTACCTCAGGCTGACTTGAACTAACTCTCTAGACCTCACATTCCAACTACTGGGATTCAGATATGTGCTGCTTCATCTAATGGAAACTTTGTCTAAACATGTATGATAATTTTTGGTGAGCTATGGAAAACAGAAGAGAACTCGATATCCTCTCTTGAAGATGATCATGCAAAACTATATCCATGGAGGGCACGTTAAAAGGTAAGAAAATATGAGTGAATTAGGTTGTTACTTGATTCCAATATTCATACAAATATATGGCATCCATAGATTTTGTGAAGCTTTTGGTATTTTCTGCTTCCTAAATTATAAATGTTTATGACTCATGTTGCTATTCTAAATAATCACTTTTATACTTAATTTTTTTATCCCTCCTTCCCCCCGGAGAGATTCAGCTTATATAAACTCAACTACCAACTATACCTGGGCCTGTTCACAGAATTGTAGAAAAGAGTAATTGCTTTGTTATTGCCAAATTCCATCAAAGAATGCTTTATCCAGGGGAGATAAAACCTGGCAGCTGTGTTAAGTTTCCTGCTGACTTCTGAGAAACCAAACGTGTAGACTGCAGCCTGTGCCTGTCAGTTGGAACCAGAGTCCAGTGAATGTTCAAATGAAGTTCCACGGCTACCCGGTGACAGATTGATGATTTGGGTTCCATGTAGCTTTGCAGAGAAGAGAGAATGGACTGGTCAGTTCAGTGGAGTGCCTGGTGTCATTGGCTGACACAGGATGTGTGTTTTAACTGCTGAGAAGATTCTTTAGTCTTTTGTGCTGTGTGTGTGTGTGTGTGTGTGTGTGTGTGTGTGTGTGTGTATGTGTGTGTGTGTGTGTGTGTGTATCTGTGTTCTGAAGAATAAACCACTCACATATATGAAATCCATTTTTTTTTTGACCTGGAAAGGCTGCTGACAGGCAGGCTTGGGACGATGGTGTAAACTCCAGGGCTCAAACAACCATAAAGAAAAGGAGAAGCTATTTGTTGACTCCTGGTGGAATACATGGAGATCCAATACACACCAGAAACAATTTCAATTTTCTCTGTTTAATAGACTCCTCTCCTTATACTTGGTGGGAATAGACACTCCATTTGTCAAGGAAATTGCTTCATGACTGTGACATGTTTTATTACTGGTATTGAACTCAGGATCTTTTCCTTGCTAAGAATGCACCATGGCATCAAGGTGTCCTCCCAGCTCTTTGACTTGTGAATTTTAAAAGAAAGTGCTAGTTTTTGCTGTTATAACCTTCCATAACTTTGAACGTTAGCATTCTTCAAAGATGCTTGTGTGAATCTGTGTGATACCTAAGGATGATGCCATTGAAATGTATTATTTCAGTACATGCCTCACTTACAGACTTTTTTTTGCCCCGAGATTATGGAAATGAGTTAAGAATATCATCTTGAAATAAAAACAAACCATTAACCATTAACTCCTAGTATATTTGTTCTTACCTACTAGTGTGTGTGTGTGTGTGTGTGTGTGTGTGTGTGGTGTATGTTTATATAGGTTTGTGCACATGTGTGTTTGTGTGCATGTGGTTGTACATGGAAGCTAGAGATAAAGTTTAGCTGTTTTCTTCGCTTGCTGTCTATCTCTGAGACAGAGTCTCCCAGTGAACTTAAACCCACTAATTTGCCTAGGCTGACTAGCCAATGAGATCCAGGGATCCAGCTATCTCTGTCTACCTCAGCTCTGGGGTTACATACATGGAGCCGAGCCTGGCTTTTTCTTTATTCTTAGGTGTTCTTTTATTGGTCTTTGTTCTTACTGGGCCTAGAAGTCAAGGGCCACCCATTGAATAGCCGTATATAGAGCTGTGCATAGCATTAAGAAAGAATGAACAATAGGAACTCCAAATTATTACAAGTATTTCTATATTTTACAGTTGACAAAGCCACCAAACACTGTGCAGTTTCTTCAGACTCTTTGTCTTTCTTTGATCAACACACACACACACACACACACACACACACACACACACACACACACACACGCACACACCTCACACTGAGCTTTCTCTGCTTCTTCTGCCCTCTTCCTAATTTGGAAATTGGGGCACTAGGTTTATATAGCACTTAGAGAGCAAAGATTGTTTTTTGTTTGTTCTTGCTAAGTGTCTCAGAGATAAGTACCTCAGAATGATCTTAAAGTTCATAGGTCCAGAGATACAGTTTCATGGAAATTGGCATGATGCCAAAGATGACTGGAATTTTTTTTTCTTCTTTGAGACAGTCTCATACTGTAGTGTGATTGGTCTTCAACTAACTATATGGCTCACATTGGCCTTGAATTCTCAACAATAATCCTGCCTCAGTCTTCTGGGTCCTAAGATTTGCAAGTATATTACTTGCTTAATATAATGAGCTGTGTTAATTCCTTCTCTGGATTTTACTTTATGTCAGTTTTTGAAGTAGATATTAATATATTTATTCCAGATTGTTCAAATTTAAATCACTTTATATAAAGTAAGTATAAATTCTTTCTGAAAAAAAATTGTAGGCTTTGTAAGAATTTCATCACTATAGTGGAAGCTGTGGTGTGATACCGTAATGACATTTTGATCAGACACCATATCAACACTTGTGTCTAAGTGTTTCTTGGAGCATTATTTGCTCTAGTTACATCCCCTCTGCAAAGGCATGTATTGGTGTCTGGTGGATAAAATGTAGAGGAGTGGAGGCTCAGCATACCTTGTGGTCCTGCCTAGCTCTGGAACCTACACCGAGATCTCCTGAGACTACCACTGTCAGCATGCTGAAGCTCAATTTTTGTACTCAGACCTATTCATTCTCTGATAGGTGTTTTTTTGTAGAACATTCCCCAAAAGATTGCTATATTCAAATTTTTTTGGTGAACTCTGGTATCAAACATTCAAATATATTCCATAATTTTTGCTATGAAATGTGGATGGACATTTGAGTTTCTAATCTTTTTCTTGTTTTCAATATTGATGTTAACAACTCATAATATGAGTTGCTCAAGACCAATGGTCATAAACCTTCCAATCTGAAATTTAGTCATACAGTCCTACATTTATAATTTAGTAATATACTCATACATGTATATGACTATATAGTAATATATATATATACTTTAGTCATACAGTCATATATATATATATACATGTATATATATATATGACACATAAGTAAAAATATACCTGTATAACAAACTATGTAATGCTGAAGTTGACATTACCAAATTTCATTATGGTCTGCTCTGAGTAGTTTCTTGTACAGTCCATTCAGACCATACTCATTTAAGTACTGAGATGCATTTAATTCAAGGATGAAGTTTGGATTTAGTGTTTCCTTGTTTCTTTCTATCCAAAACAAGTGTACCACATATAGGATCATGGTGACAGTCCATAGTGGATTTGACTTTTGGGGTCCATCACATGCATTATCTTTGTGAGGTGCTTCCTGACTAAAAGAAAACGTCTAAGGGTTGAGCCTTGGCTTTGTGTTATAGAATCTGTCTAGTTTAAGTGGAGCCTGGTTCCTGAGCCTCAGTGTTGCCAACATAAACAAGCAAACACCTCTAATGTCCATATTTGCAGAAGGAATTAAGGAGACTGTCTTAGGGCTTCTATTGCTGTGAAGAGACAACATGACCTTGGCAACTCTTACAAAGGAAAACATTTAATCGGTGCTGGCTTCCAGTTCAGAGGTTTGGTCTATTATTATGGCGAAAAGCATGCTGGAGAGGTAGCTGAGAGTTCCAGGTCTGGATTAGCGGGCAGCAGAAAGAACAAGTGAACCACTAGATGTGGCTTGAGTTTGTGAGACCTCAAAGCCCATCCTACAGTGACACACTTCCTTTGAAAAGGCCACACCTACTCCAACAAGGTCACACTTCCTAATAGTGCCACTCCCTATTAGGCCTATGGGCATCATTTTTAGTCAAACCACCACAGAGACCAATGGCATTTCTGTGATTTTACCATTTATTTTTTTAACCTCAGCTTCTTTGGCTAAGGAAATATAAACCAACAAATCATGAAGCTGCCTCCATTCATGGTACAGATCACTCAGTTACTTTATCCTTCTCTTACGTCAAAGTGATTTTTGTCTTTTCTCCCACAGACTTCATTGTTAATAACAGTGAGAATAATGGTATTTCCTTTTAGGCAAACTGTATGAATTGCCAAAACCCACTATGGCTTATTCTAATTTGCAAAGGTCATGACTAATGCTTTCTAAATGTTGCAGTGGAGAACTATGGCAATGTGATCTTATTTTCACTTATGGGACTGATTGGAGGCCACAGACCAAGGCCTCTGTGATACAAATATGAGGGCAAAATTTCTTTCAAAATCCTTTTCAAGAAGTGGTAGAAATTCATCTTTTTATATAAATGTAAGGGTCAGATAGACCTTGAGTATTATAGAGTTTTTCTTACCTTAAAAGTAAAATTTTAAGAAAGTGGTAGAAGACCTTTCTAGTTCATGTTTCATGAAAATCTAGAATTATCAAGTTTAACATTTTTAGCAAAGGTTTAATGAGAAGAAAAATTTCAAACAATATGAAATATAAATTTACCTTACTAAAATAGTATATACTGAAGGTAATAGAGATGTAGCACAGAGATGCTACAACATAGCTTTAAAATTCATTTTAAGTGTTTTATGTGGCATGAGGACATCTTTTACCCAAACAAATGTCCTGAAGTGATTATAGTCTTTATTGCATCCAAATCAATTAAATGTCAGAGTAATTGACATCAATCACATTGTGCTCTGAGGGGAATAAAGTGACATGTTTGGATTTTAACAGACTCTTCTGTTACAGACAGAAACCTCTCTTCCTCCTTTCATCATGGCTTCACTCTCTCTCTCTCTCTCTCTCTCTCTCTCTCTCTCTCTCTCTCTCTCTCTCTCTCTCTCTCCTCCCAAACACATCATACATGCACATATACCCACACACATACCATCAGTGCATCAAAATTATGGAAGACATGAAAATTGTATTCCACAGGACACTTCACTTGGGAAATTCATTCTCTTAAACATTAATTAACTAATTTTATGTTTTGAGAAATTCATTCTTCAGCAAGCCTCAACTCTCTTGTGTTTGGACTCTCTGTTCCAGCCTGGCACTTCTGTTTTTGACTTCAGTGGACTCATTTCTTTTCTTCCCGTTTGAGGACTGGATCCTGGAGTTCTTTTGGCTTTGAGTCCCTCTAATTACAGGAGTT